TGGCCCACAAAGGCCTGCAGAGCGATTATTTAGAGTGTCCGTTGTTACAGCTGGTGGTCAGGTTCTGTGGAGGTTCTTTATAACCCAGACGATGCATGCGCTCCGTCTTCCCAAAGAAACCAGGAAGAGCAGCTCATCTTCAGACTTTCCACAGGTACATCCACAGCAACCGGATCACATCGATGGAACCTGGGTGTTTTGATAATTTGGCCAACACACTCCTGGCGTTGAAGCTGAGCAGGAACCGGATCTCAGCTATCCCACCCAAGATGTTCAAACTGCCCCAGCTGCAGCACCTGTAAGTAAAACATCTCTTAGGACCGAAGACTTAGGGAATGTTTCCTCACCTCCTCTACACCCCTGGTATCTGTCCCCTACAAGCCACAGTGTGGCAGAAGGAGTTTAGAAGCAGGGATGTTGCTGTCTTCCCTTTGAGAGCCAGAGTTGTGGAATCCCCGGATCACAACAGCCTTAAGTCACCTCGTACAAGCTCCTGCCTGACAAGGCATGTGGATTGTTACCAAAAGAGTGAACAGTGTAATCATTGAGCAGCCTCCGTACAAAGGCGTCATTGTGGCACTGGAGAAATCATGGGGACTCTCAACAGCTGTGGTTTATGAGAATAATGCCGACAACTCCAGGAGGCTCTGATAGCTTAAGTGGCTGTAAAGAACTGTCTCGTTAATAATGGTGGAATGATCTGCGAACAGGCTCCTACAAAATAGTGGTTTTCAACCTTGGCTGCACATTACAGACACTGGGGGAGCTTTAAAAAAATCCCAGTGACCAGGCCACACCCTGCACCAATTATATTAGAACCTCTGGGGGTAAGATCCAGGCCTCAGTAATTTTTAAAGCTCTCCAGGTGATTCCAGTGTGCAACCACGGTTGAGAACGACTGCCTTAAAGGGAAAGCAGTAAACGTGAAGGATCACGAGAGGAACCAACTGTTGTAAGCAGATTGGACAGGATAAATTTGTCCCTGTTCCTGAAAAGACCTCGTGTCTGAATGTAACATTCATTATTCTAGGTAATTAAAAATATATATTAGTTTGTTTACTTTTATACTGAGTGGACAACAGTTTTGAAATAAAAGTGTAGTCTAGTTTCAGTATTTTATCATTTCAAAAATATATCACACATTTCAGAAGGAAATTCACTTACTGTTAATAAATCAACATTTTTCTGGATAAAAATATTTAGATATTTAAGACAATATGTAATTTAACACTGGGTGGTGTCACTACATTGTAGTAATGTGACATGTTATCACTACCTCCAGAATTTGTCCTGTAAGCTAACAATTTAACTGTAATATCCAATGCAGCGAACTGAACCGAAACAAGATAAAAACTGTAGATGGGCTCACGTTCCAAGGGCTGGGAGCTTTGAAGTCTCTGAAAATGCAAAGAAACGGAGTAACAAGACTTATGGATGGAGCTTTTTGGGGGCTGAGCAACATGGAAATCTTGTAAGTGTGGTTTATCATAATTCCTATCCAGGTCATGTGATCACTGAGCATTCAGCAGCTTTTATTTGAAATCCTATCATGTTAAAGTCTCATCATTTCCAATCTTTTATAATTTAGTTTTGTCTCCGGTAAAGTGACTGAGAATTTATAAGCACATGTTGTGTTTGTTTTTTGCTGAGGTCTTTAACAGGAGCTAACTAGGAACAATAGGAATATGTAATAGGCTGTCATCATAGGTCCCCTTTGAAGAGACTAGATAATGAACTCTTGATCCTGCTTTTGATTCGTGTTGTCATTGTAGGCAGCTGGACCATAACAACCTAACAGAGATCACCAAAGGCTGGCTTTATGGCTTGCTGATGCTACAGGAACTTCATCTCAGCCAGAATGCCATCAACAGGATCAGCCCTGATGCCTGGGAGTTCTGCCAAAAACTCAGTGAGCTGTGAGTTGCCTTTTATTCTCCCCAAGTTTGAGAGCAGGGATCATGCCAGAGCATGAGCTTCTTACCACCGATCTGTGAAATTTTCATAACAGTATCCCAGGTGACGGCATTTTTCACATGCAACCTGGTCGCGTTTTTTGTTGTGATAAGTTGGAGACCACTCGGATGCTTCAGGTCTGTGGCACATGAGCTGAAGCAGTGAGTGATGGCTATTTTCAAATAGAGGTGTTTCTCTTAAATTACTGGGATTAGGAATAATGTTTACCTGGGGATTATTAAGGAGGCAGAGTTTTAGAATAAGGATTAATGTGGTTACATCAATATTACCTGTTTTGTTTCTTTAAACAATTCATCATGTCGAATTAGAAAGTAAAAGCTATGATAGGTGTGTTTTTTTGTTGTTGTTCCTTTTTCCTTTCCAGGGACCTAACGTTCAATCACTTGTCGAGGTTAGATGATTCAAGCTTCCTGGGCCTAAGCTTGCTAAATACACTGCACATTGGGAACAACAAAGTCAGCTACATTGCTGATTGTGCCTTCCGGGGGCTTTCCAGTTTAAAGACTTTGTAAGTTACACATTTTGCTCTCTGTACAGGAACCTAATTGGTTCCTAAATGTGCCCACTTTTCTCCCAGCAGATTTCCTTTGTTGTGAAGGAAATGTGTGCGGCCTCCGAAGTAGTGTCTTAATCTTTCCCAGATCAGTTTGATTAAAATCGGTCCGTTTCACCCATGTGTGTTTCTTAAAGGGATTAAAAAGGACAGCGATCAGCTTGTTTTGGTGATTATACTTAGCCTTCTCAGGATCTCCAGGAAGTTGGTGACTGCTCAAGAGGGAAACAATTTCAAATCCACTAATTTTTCTTTAGAAAATGCAGATTAAAAATTACCCAGAGCACAAAGATCTCATACCAGTTATATCCAGACTTGATCCCTGTCCAAGAGAAAGAAGCGGAAGTTGATTAACTGACCTTTGAAAACTCTCGGCAAATGTTAATTTTAATGTTGTGCAATGGGCTTTTGATTTTTGCATTGTCAGAGGCTTTTGCTCTCTTCACTATTTGAAGCGTTACATAATTGAAAGACGTACTGTATGCTTTGGCGAACGCCTGCTTATGTGGTTGGAACAGTGGTTTTAAAGCTTAATGTATTTTTCAGACTATTCAAGTCTTTCAGAATTTAGTCATCTTGATAGAGGAATTAATAGAGCTCAAGTCAGCTGTCCTGATTTTGGGCAAAAAAAAAAAACAACACAAAACTTAAAATGCTGTGGTAAAAAGAGGACAGGGTGTAGGAGTTATGTTGGGAGAGAGAGCGAATTTTCTATTGTTTGGAAAGGGGTGGAGATGATGTGGGGAATTAATGAGGAATTTATTACAAATTACATGCCACCTGGGTGGTGATCTTAGATTTCTGAGTGTGTCCCTAAAGAGAGTGCTTGCATATTCTCTTAAGTACCTAGTACCAGTTTCACAGCATCCCTCTCTTACATTAGGGATCTGAAGAACAATGAAATTTCCTGGACTATTGAGGACATGAATGGTGCTTTCTCTGGGCTTGACAAACTGCGGCGGCTGTGAGTATGATCTGCCTCATGATTTGACTCCCTCTTTGACCTAAAGTAAACATTGTGTCTTCATTCAGTCAGTTCCACAAGCTTAAAGAGTGTAGAAATAGGTGCTTAATGTGGTTGCTACCCTTTGTCATTTTCCTGAATGAGGGCTGTTATACAAGATGTGTATGAGTTTGCTTTCTTCCTTGGGTCTCAGGGTTTTTATTCAGCACTTTGGTGTGTGTGACTTATTTTAATATCTAGATAAGAATTTTAAATTGTTGAGAGTGCTTGGACTCTAAAGATTATCATTGTGTAAAAGTTTCAACAGTTTAAAATTTTCACTGTTGCAATCTACTCACAGAAATGTTTAAATGAAGTAACCCAGTAATTATGGAAGAACGTTCCAAGCAGTCCAGGATCAAAACATGCTTATCTGTAGCCATAAAATGGCCTTGCAGGTGGCTAAATTGTGTACTGTAAGCCGGTGGTTTTCAAATTGAGTTTCATATAGCCCTGAATGTCTGTGGGGAGGCTAAAGAGAAAGTCTCCACTGTTACCTGCTTTATTTATTAAAGTGCTGAGAAAGTGTCCTTGGAATAAAGTTTCCCCCCCGTAGGAATGCCTCGCCATTCCTAAAGAGACTTTGAAAAGCACTGCTTCAATGTAACCATCAGTCATTTATTGAATACCTACTTTTGCTGGGTTCTCTGTTGAATGCTGTGAAAACCACGCTGAACTATATTACTGAAGTACATGGCCCAGATACATTTTTATAGAACGTATTGTTCAATTCAAGGAAATGAAGTACTCACAAGTGATTGCAAAAGCAGTTCTTGTCATGAGAATTCTACTCCCAGATGGTTTTTATTAACTATTCCAATGTAAATTTTGTTGTGTTTGTTTATTTTTATTTATTTATTTTTTGCCCCCAGAATCCTCCAGGGAAACCGGATTCGATCTATTACCAAAAAAGCCTTCACTGGTTTGGATGCGTTGGAACATCTGTGAGTAGTGGGACTTTAGTTATCCTTGGCAGACTAAGATGGGCATTTACTTATGTGTCAGGAAAGATAAGACAAACTAAAATGTAATCTTGTTGACATCCCCTTCGTAGCATAAAGTACATTTACCCATCTGTTCATCTCTGTCTGCCCTTCTACCTGCTTATCTATCTATCCATCTATCTGTATCTGTCTAGAAGTATGCAGGTATATATTTTTCTTGCCATTTAGGGGCATTACTGCAGATTATGTTGGGTTTTGTTTCGTTATTTTTCTCAAGTGGTATATATTTTTAAACTATCATTTCACTTAGCATACTGTTCTCCAGATCAAGTGAAATAAGCCAGTCAGAGAAAGACAAGTACCATATGATTCACTCATATGTGGAATTTAATGAGCAAACTGAACTACCAAGCAAAACAGAGACAGACTCATAGATGGAGAGCAGGCATACAGCTCAGGAGTAGGGAGGAGAGGGGAGGATGAGGCAGGGTGGAGGGATTGAGCAAAAAAGAAAGGAAAAGAGAGAGAACTCATAGACATTGACAGCAGTGTGGTGATTGGGGGAGAGGGAAGGAGGAGGGGTTGGAAGAGGAGGTAAATGATACAGGTGATGGAAAAAATAAAATGAAAATAAAACATAATTTTAAAACTACCATTTATTCACCCTCAGCATGTTGGGCATGATGCCAGGTGTATTCTCTCATTAATCCTATGAGAAGACTATTCAATAGTTGTTATTATCTTTATTTTTAAACCAAGAAGTGGAGATTCTGAGGGGTTTATTCCATTGTACAGTTAGGAAGGTGACTTGGATATTAGAAAAAACAATCCCCACAGTTCTTGAGAGTGACATTTGGAGGGTATTAACACTACTTTGAGAGTTTTTGTTAGTTTTGTTAAAGTATAAAATGTACAACTGCTGTTGTTTAATTATAAAACGTACAACCTTTCCCCCAGCCCTTTATTGTCCTTTTTCTTGTTCTCTTGCCACTAACCCATTAGTTAGCAACGGATAGATTCAGGACTCAAAACAGGGCTGCTTCTGCCTTCACAGTGTCCCTGCATCACACAAGCTCTTGCCTTCATAGCCTCTGCCACCGGCCATTCTCATTATCTATCACCCAGCACACAATTTTGACATGGCATTTAGGGGTAACTTGTCTTCAGCTTTAGGAGAATGGGCTAGCCAACCATGATAGGAGTCAAAACTTGCATGAGCACTGAACCAACCAGCTGCTTATAACCATGAGTATACGTTTTATACTTGGACAGTAAAAGTACAAAGTAATCTAGATATGTCCACTCTCACTGCTAAGGCATGCTTATAGCCAGAAGTTTTAATATCTGTTAACTTAGACAAAAGAAGTTATAATTTAAAATATACATTTGGTTGGTGCTCTTGTTTCTTCCGTGTTGAGAGTGGAGGCTGCGCTGTTTTCTCTGGGCCATCTTGCTGTCCTGGCCTCGTTTACCTGTTAGCTTGTGGGAGATTTGGGTGGCTAGCCATACTGACAGGGCAGCAGCTCAGGCTGTGGTGGAATGATTGTGCAAAGCAGAATTTGGAAGGCCAGACCAGTATTGCCGGGCTTACTGAAACAAGTTATTTTCAAAGGGAAACCAGCCAAAAGGGTTTGTCATCCGACCCATTCCATTTCTGGGAAAGTGGAATTAGTGGAGTATTAACCTCTGCTTCAGTTTGCTAAACCTCCTTGACTCTCCAGGCCTTATTTCTCTGCCTGTGTTTGGTACCTTCATTCTGTCTTCTGTGGCCACTTGTCTCATTCAAAATCCTGTTTGTATACTCTGACCCTTGTAAAGAAAAACAGAGTAGTAATCATTGTGGAGAGCACTTTAATTCAAACTGCTTGTAAGTACCAGTTAAAAATAAAATCCGCCCAGAATATTTGCTCATTGTATAAATGTTCTGCCTCAAGTGTTTGTTTGTTTTAGCAAGTACATCTTGTCTAAACACTTAAACCATCTTTACAGTAGCGAGTTGTGGGTGGCAGAATTAGGCTAGCAATTAAGCATAGGTTTGGAAATTGAAAATAATTGGGTTCAAATCGTATTGCCCTTTTCCTCCTGCTGAGCAAGGTAGCAATGCCATCTTTTGGGTTGCTGTGAGGAATAAATGTAACATACGTAAGCCACTTAGCACAGTGCGCATCATAGGGACTATTCTATACATGCTGGTTTTTTAAAAAGCATAATTACGAGCAATTTTATTTGTGTATTGAAAATGGTTAACTTGAGTAATGAGAACTTCAATAAAATTCTACAGCAGGACAGTTGGGGCCCTTATGAGTCAAGTAACCTGTAAGTGGTAATGTAAAGAGAATCTTTGTCACCATAACAGAACTGGCCTCTCACACAAAGATCGTTGTTCTTCAGCCTACACTTGCTGGTGGGTCTTTAGAGTCGACCCATTTGTGCATTTCAACAGAGAGTGTTTGGTGAATGGAGTGGGCAGTGGGCCCAGCCTCTGCCTGAGGGCATGCGGTGACCATCCTTGGCTCTAATCTGTGTGTTTGATTGTTTTCAGAGACCTGAGTGACAATGCAATCATGTCATTACAAGGCAATGCGTTTTCACAAATGAAGAAACTTCAACAACTGTAAGTTTTCCTTTCTAAGAATTTTCAGTTAAGCATAGAGGGGAAACCACCATGGGGTATATCATCCTAGATTATGTCCCTGTAAAATGTGTCTAGCACTTTCTTAATATTCCTTAACTTTTATACCAGAAAATGAGAGAAAAGCGAAAAGCAATGAAGGAAAAAATCCATTCCTTTTGTTACAAAGAGAAGTTTCTTGTTCTTTCTGTGATGAACTTGCATTTTAACTTTGTGAGCCCTCGTCCAGTACACGGCCTAATCATAGTCACAAGTGTTCCGCAGGAAGGTGTTGTGATTTGTCAGCACTTCTGTCTCACTAGGTCAGGAAAAACAACAACAACAAAAAACTGTGCTGGTCACATTGCTGGCATTTTAAGATGGACTGAAGGATACCATTACATAGGAGATGTGTATTTGCTTTCCACATTCATCGTGTTGTTAATATTTACTTGAGTTTGGTTTACTTGTACAAATCTGCATTTCATACAAAACAAATTGACTGTAATTACTCTCCTCAGGCATTTAAATACATCAAGCCTTTTGTGTGATTGCCAACTGAAATGGCTCCCTCAGTGGGTGGCGGAGAACAACTTTCAGAGCTTTGTAAATGCCAGTTGTGCCCATCCTCAGCTGCTGAAGGGAAGAAGCATTTTTGCTGTTAGCCCAGATGGCTTTGTGTGTGGTGAGTCTAACTGTTGCCCCTGCCTTTTAGTCATTCTTCTTTTTATGTCTCCCATTTGTCCAAATAATGGTTTTGAATAAATTTATGCTCTTTTAATAAAGCACTTATTTCTGCTGAGATAGGTGAAAATGGATCTGTAGTTGGCTTATTATTTTAATTTTACACATGGGAAGGAGAGTTTTCGTCATCTTCGTTTGGGCATTAGGGTGGTTTGATGGAAAGAGAATGACATTGGAGTTCCGGAGCCTGGGAGGGTATAGTGCCAGCCTGTCTACGTGACTTAAATTCCCTGAACCTCGGTTTCTATACGTATGAAATGGGAACTCTGGGATCTGCGGTCCCAACTCCGGGGGTTGTTGACAGGCTCCCGTCAGCTCAGTGAAGAGACTTCACTAAACCCGGAGCAGATGCCATTTATGTGGAGTAGAAAGAGCAAATCATTAGCCAGTGAATTATAGGCTGCTAAATTTTTTACTACTGGTGGGTAAAGCATTACAAGCAATAGGAAATTTATTATAAATAAATGTAAGGCCTATTGTTTTAGCATCTAAGCATTTCGGCATTAGAATGTGCTTACCCAAATGTCACCTACTAGTTAGTAGATCTGGATAAAAAAACAACAACCATGCTTTCATCTCCCTGGTGCAGTTTGTTGCCTACTACATGACACAGTTTACTATTCACTGCCGTGAAGAGCTTTGTAAAAATGTGTGTATAGAACATGAAGTCACAATTTGCCGAAACAGAACCTAATTTTACATTGACCTTTAAAATTTTTATTTAAAACTGCTTTGCCTATGATTGTTTAGATAAGTATAACAAATATAAATATTTATATTTGGGTTGCAGCATTAAACAGTGCCAACAATTTCTGGAAATAAAATGATGTAGCTTTTGGATCTAAATAAGCTTTTGGCCTTATTCTATAAGGACCTGATATGAACTCAAGTTCATATCTGAACTCTTTATTACTCTGAGGCGTACAGTGGCGGTCAAAAGTAGGTTTACAGTTCGTATGGGCAGTAATACAATAATTAATAAACAATGCAAGAATAAACTGTTCTGCATACTCACAACTGTAAACCTACTTTTGCCCACCTGTATATACAGTGGCTATAATGTTTTATTAACCTCCATAGTGGAGAATGAGCATTGATTTTCCAGATGAGGATTTTAGAATAATCATACAAAAGAAGAAACTGTTTTGAGTACAGCGTGCAGGCATGGCATTGGAAATTAGCAGCAATGGAGTTATCAGAGCACCTCCCTCACCCCATCTCTCTCTCACACACACACACACACACACACACGAACGCACACAATACATTTTGGTAGATCCAAGATGTTTCCTTCTGGGTTTAGAGCATCTCTGAGAAACTGAAGTTCAAAAAGGTAACTTTTCCAAAAAGTAACAGAGAACTAAAAATAGCTGTGTGGAATGACAGAGTTGCTTAGCTGAAATTATAATGTAGCCCTGACATGTAGCACAGCGGCTTGACGGATTGTCCCCTGGAAGCCAGGGCTCCCCGTGAGCGGGGGAGGTGCTTTCTCTTTCACTACAGGCTTATTTTTTCTGCTCCACAAACAAAGTACTGTGTTTAATACGGGTTCAGTTTTTGGTAAGTGGGGTATTCATTGCTATCTTTAGTGATATTGATTATCATTACTGATTTTTTTTTCTTTCATTTTGCTGCTCCTTATATGTGGAGAACATGGGAAGAATTGCAGTTTTCCTGATAGTAGCCTTTAAAAGTGGCCCATAAGCCTGGACATTTCTTAACTGATTTTTTTTTTATTGTATTTACATTTAAAAAGCTCAAGGGGTCTGGGATACACTGTATTCCCAAACAGCAGGCTTCTCTCAGTTAATGATTGATAAATAGATCTCTGTCTCTACTTGAAGAACGAATTTTTTTGTAAACACTCCCGGGCTCTCGTTTCAACACTGGGGCGGCTACTCCATCTGGGAAACACACACAAAGGGTAAAACCTAAGCCCCTGTTTGTTTTGAGTTGTTGGTGTTCAAATCCGAGTAGCATGTGGACTCTCAAGCCCTAAAATGGTTTTATTTCCTCCTCTCCATTATTGAACAGATGATTTCCCTAAACCCCAGATCACGGTGCAGCCAGAAACACAATCGGCAATAAAAGGTTCCAATTTGAGCTTTATCTGCTCGGCTGCCAGCAGCAGTGATTCCCCAATGACTTTCGCTTGGAAAAAGGACAACGAACTACTGCCTGATGCTGAAATGGAAAACTATGCACACCTCCGGGCCCAAGGTGGGGAGGTGATGGAGTACACCACCATTCTTCGGCTGCGCAACGTGGAATTTACCAGCGAAGGGAAATACCAGTGTGTCATCTCCAATCACTTTGGCTCATCCTACTCCGTCAAAGCCAAGCTTACAGTAAACAGTATGTGATCCGACTTTTCCTTTTGCATTTAAAGGCACCTTGTAGAAGCAAAGCATGTGGTTGGTTCTTTTCTCTTATTCCTTATCCTGTCCTCTGTTCTCAGAGTTCTCCACCTAAGCCTTTCTGCTCCTACCTCTCATCCCACAGAATTAAGATTCTTGGTTATTTGTATCTAAGGAAGCATTGTTTATGTCGACCCATATGTAGCATGATGGGTAACCCAGAGATGAACCAGACAACGTGTGCTCTTTGGAGTTCACAGTACACTAGTTTGATATGGGACACCCTAAGCATAGTGTTTTAGCGTACCACCTTTAATGCCAAGATCTGGATTTGAATTCTGCCAGTTCTGCTTACAGCTGTGTGACTCTGAGCAAGTCACTTAACCTCTCTGTGCCTCCATTCCTACATCCGTCAATTAGGGATAATAGTACCTACCTTATATAGGTATGGTAGTCATTAAGTAAAATAATTTGTGTAAAGCACTTAGCAGACTGCCTAGAATACAGTAAGTACTCAGTAAAAGCAGTGAGTGTGAGCTGCTCTTAGTAAGTGTATCATGGTTGGCTTTGTGTGGCAGGTATACAGTTTACAATGGGATCCTTGCCACTTTATCATTTAATCGTTTGTATCTTCCCCGGTGAAAGAAGACCTATATGATTTATTAATGCATTCCACAAATGATTGCTGAGGCCTGACATGGAACAATTTTGAGTTTAAATTGTAGGACCAAACACATTTAAAGTCATGGAGTATTAGAGTCAGGAGGGACTTAAAAGAAAAAAAAATATGGAGTGGTCAGGGTACAAAGAGATAAATTGATCTGCCCAAGATCTCACGGGTAATTATTGAGGAAACTGGAAAATAGCCAAAAGACCTTCAGTCTGAAGATCCGGCGACCTGTGTTTTATCCTGACCCCATCATTTCTGTACCTCCATAACCTGGAGGGAGTCACTTAATCATTCCATCTCAGCTTTAGATTCCTTGTCTTGTAATGAGAAATAACCCCGCCTTACCTGTGTCAGGGGCATTGTGAGCATCAAAACAAAAGGCTGAAGACGAGCCTGTGAAACGCCACAGTGCTGACGCCCACATTGTGTTTCTCATTTCAGTGCTCCCTTCTTTCACCAAGACGCCCATGGACCTTACCATCCGCGCAGGGGCCATGGCGCGCTTGGAGTGCGCCGCCCTGGGGCACCCGGCCCCGCAGATAGCCTGGCAGAAGGACGGGGGCACAGACTTCCCTGCTGCGAGGGAGAGGCGCATGCACGTTATGCCTGAGGACGACGTGTTCTTTATCGTGGATGTGAAGATAGAGGACATCGGGGTGTACAGCTGCACAGCCCAGAACAGCGCAGGAAGCATTTCTGCCAACGCGACTTTGACTGTCCTAGGTAAGTGGGTGTTCTCAGATTCTGTGATATAAATTAATCATAAAGGTCCGAGCTCACCCAGAGACCCTCAGTGTCAGAGCTGTGAGGGTGAGAGACTGCCCTTTCCTGGGAACAACAAATGGCTTCTCAGACTCTTTGAAGTCAGGAGTGCTTCACACCTTCCAGGCCACAGCCAGTGAGACGAATCCGCTCTCTCTGTTCCCAGGAGCGGGAGATGCTTTCCCTATATTGCAGGGTTCACCCGCCCCTGCTCTCCCCATCATGCCGTCTCCACTGGTTCTCAACACTACAAAGAATGTCTGACATAAATACATGAACAAATTGGGAAGGACCTAGTGTCTTTTCTCAGCTTACCCTACCACTCTGGAAATCAGAGTTTGTTTTTCATCTTTTTCCTAAACAAACACTTTTTAAAACATGTGAACATGTTAGTCATATGTGTATCTCTAAAGGAGTTAAAGTAGCCTCTTAACACCACATAATAAAAGTAAATCATTTCCAGAATTTTAATATAGGCCTGGACACCTGGCACTAGAAAGTTTCTCTTTAAAAAAATACATGTTCTGATTTATTTGTATGCGTCAACACACTCTTGTGCTCGAAATATTTTTATACATTTTCTGTTTGTGAAAAATACGCTTTGCCCCTCTTCCACCGTTCCTCAACCTTGTCAGGAGGGAGGGAGATTGAGGTTAAAAAATAGTAAATGTTATCCTTACCTGGTGTTACGAGTAAATGACACCTGGACAATGAAAGGAAATCCCACGAGTTGTACATGTTTAGGCTTTAAGAGAAACGTGGGTATTAGTTTATGGGAGAATAAAATTTCACCTTTCACTTTGAATAAATTCAAGTGCTAGGTCTTACGCAAAACCTGATTTCATTGAAAAGATTAAAGACATAACTTGTCATTTCAGAAACGCCATCATTTCTGCGGCCCCTGTTGGACCGAACTGTAACCAAGGGAGAAACAGCCGTCCTGCAGTGCATCGCGGGCGGGAGCCCTCCTCCCAGGCTGAACTGGACCAAGGACGACAGCCCGTTGGTGGTCACGGAGAGGCACTTCTTCGCAGCGGGCAATCAGCTGCTGATCATTGTGGACTCAGATGTCAGCGATGCTGGGAAATACACCTGTGAGATGTCTAACACGCTAGGCACTGAGAGAGGCCACGTGCGCCTCAGTGTGATCCCTACTCCGACCTGCGACTCCCCGCAGATGACTGCCTCATCCTTAGACGATGACGGGTGGGCCACTGTGGGCATCGTGATCATAGCGGTGGTTTGCTGTGTGGTGGGCACGTCGCTTGTGTGGGTGGTCATCATCTACCACACAAGGCGGAGGAATGAAGATTGCAGCATTACCAACACAGGTGTGTAAACAGGAGCTTGGCATGGGGTGCAGCAGTCGTGTGTGTGTGTTGGCGGGGGTGGGGGAGTGTGGGATCCCGGGGTAATTCTCTTCCAGAATGTGTGTCTTGGAGTCTGAGGCCATGTCAGAAGGGTGACTCATTTGTTTCAAGCTGCAGAAATATGGTTAGCTAAAAATAGCACCCTGGCCCCAAATATAGCCCGTGTTTAAAGATTAATACTTTTTGTGAAAACCTCATCCGAATATCCTGTTGGCTGTGAGATCCGGTGGACACCGTAAGAGTTCAGTAGCCTAACGCCTTCGTAAGATGCTGGTGGAGAACCAGGACCAGCCCCTTAGCTGGGAGGTTTATACTCCGCTGTAGGTTTTGGTTTTGTTGTGTGTGTGCAGGAATCTAGGGAGGACACTGGTTATTAGGGAGAGGCCTATGTGCAAACTCCTATGAGTAGTAAGTCAGGACTATTACAGAAATCAAGCTTGATTCCAGAGCTTAGGTACTACCCCATGAAAATCCTTAAGCCTTTCTTTTGAAACACTTATTGTTTTTGAAATCTGGGAGGGGCATCCCACAGGCGATAAGGTAGGAGATCAGCTCAGGCTTCTCAGAGCAGCCCTGACTTGCCCGCCTGCGTGCTGCACAGCCAGCTGGTTTTGCAGGACTCGGTGATTTGAATGCACAGAAACCAAAGCAGTGCATGCTGTTCATCAGGGAAGTCCGTGGGGCACTTGCGATCCTTCTTGGCTAAGAGAGTGCTGCTGTTTGATTGTAGATGAGACCAACTTGCCAGCAGATATCCCTAGTTATTTGTCGTCTCAGGGAACGCTAGCTGACAGACAGGATGGGTACGTCTCCTCAGAAAGCGGAAGCCACCACCAGTTCGTCACTTCCTCGGGGGGCGGATTTTTCTTACCACAACACGACAGCAATGGTAAGTGTTTGAGGTGAACATCTTTGCTCTGGGCTCTCCGAGAGGGTCGTTTTGAAATAACCTGATGGAAGATTCACATATAATGTTAATTTTCACCAGAAACGGATCTGAGGACATGGCCTAAAGTCAGTAGTAAAGCTAAAATTAGATACATTTCCTTACGAAAAAAGCTTTGTTTCTGACAATGAAAGGAGACAGGTAGGTTAAGTAAAATTTAATTCCTCCATGCAGTGTATTTTCTTTACATTGTAAATATGCTTTGGTGCCCTGAATGTTCTCCTTATTAAATGGCATTGGCTGGCTTCGTGCACGGTCTTAAAAGTCAAATGATTTAAAAACACTTTTATTAGAGAAATCTAATTCTGACTCTTTGCTTTAAGAACTGTATGGTTTTAAGAAAAAAAAAATGGAGGCAGCATAAGTAAGATCATAGCCTCAGTTCAAGAGCCACTTCTGACACTCCGTGTCTCCTTGGACAGTTACAGTACTTCCTGTTCGGTGGTTGTGAAAATTAAATGAAATGGTAATGGAAAACTACTTGGCACATCTTAAGGGCTCAACAAGTGGAAGCTATTGACATTATTTTCAAACATTTTGGCACCTTTTCCCGCAAGCGTTTATTGAGTGCCTGCTCTGTGGGGGATGCCACACTTGGGAAAGAAGAATATTTGTTTTCAGTTTTACAGTTAAGTCAGTGGTGAGCAAAAATTCAACTAACAATGACAGAGGGTTTGGGAAGGCAGTGATAGCATAGAGATAAAGCTGGATGTTTCGGTTACACTCATTTGGTTGCAAAGAGCAGAGGCCCACTTTCGTTCACATTTAGCAGCGTTTACCGAAAGGACATTCATGGAGGTCTGCATGACAGGCTAAAGGGGCGGAACCGGAACGTAGCAGTGCCCCGTCGCCTGGGTGCTGGGGCTGGAGGTCAATCTGCTCTCGGGGCCCTGTAGGGGTCACCATCATCACCGAGTCACAGTCCGCACGTTTGCTGCTCTCTGAGCCACCCTCTGACTGTCCAGTTCCCACTTCCAGGCACATGGCTCGTCATGGCACCTCCAACCCTTACCACATCTCTTGCCTTTCACTGGCTGTGTCCACAGCTAACTGGCATCTTGTTTCTGAGTTGTTTAGCTCAGATACGATAGGATTTGGTTTTGGCTGAGCCCATCTTTGCTCGGGCACTGAGAGGTCATTGGTTAAGTGCCAGTGTGTGGTCCTGATCACTGGCTGTGGCGGAAGGGACAGTGCTGTTGGCATCCTGTGGTTCAGGTCCCAGCACTTTGCTGCGGTACTCATACACAGACGAGTTTCCCCTGCCAACAGGTGGGCCAGCAAACAGGTTAGCACACCTGGTACAGTGGTTCATCAAGTCTGTTAGTGAGATGTCACGAGTTTACCCAATCCGTAGGCTTCGATGCATTTTTTTAAAAACCCTAAATTTCTGCAGTTTTTCCCTTTATATGATGCTCTATCCAAAGTCTGTAAACGTGGAAAATGCCCAAAGTAGAGAGAGTACTGAATGGTACTTGAATACAATGGGTTCAGTGACTAAGATATCTATTTTAAAGGGACATGTCACATTGACAACAGCAGTGAAACCGACGTAGAAGCTGCCACAGATCCATTCCTGTGTCCCTTTCTGGGACCCCCAGGCCCTGTGTATGTGAAGGGGAATGTATATGGGCCGGATCCCTTTGAAGCCTATCACGCAGGTATGCGGTCTTCCCGCCCGAGTTCTGTTTCCTGCACGGTTTCTACAAGCGCTCACTCCCTCTCCTTCTGACACGCTCTCTCTCCTCCGTCTCAACATGGAAAAGGTTGCAGCCCGGACCCTCGAGCTGCGTTAATGGACCACTGTGAGGCCAGTTACATAAAGAAAAAGGAGTGCTACCCGTGTCCTCATCCTCCCGAAGAATCCTGCGAACAGAGTGGCAGTGACACAGGCTGGCCCTCCCACGTGAGGAAGTTAATCAACTCTACTTACTCTCCGCATGAAGGACCTGGCCCGAAAAATGTGTGTCCAAACAAGTCCTCTCTAGATTTTAGTCCAAGTTCAGAGCCGGCATCAGTTACCTCAAGTAATTCATTCCTGGGTAAGTTCAGTCAGTTGTGAGATACCTTGACACGGGACTCCTAGTCCACCTCGCGTGGGAGAGCAGTGAGAGAGCACTTCAGATGCTGAGCGAGTGAAAAATGTCTTTGATTTTTAATGATGCTGTTATGACATTCTACTTGTTGGTTTACATATTTCTAAAAGCAGAGTCAGGCGTGGGGGATTTTACTTGATTATGCAGTTAGTCCCTAACGAAGCCTTAGGAGCTCTCTGGGCAGCACCGTGTGTGGCATCCTCTAGAACACGGGCGTTTCAGGAGTGACTTAGGAGCTCAGTCTGTCAGCCATGTGGAAAAAGTGGTTTTGGGCTACAACAGCCTTTGGGGTGGAGTTGTGTGCACTGCGTGATTGTGGTTTGGCTGTCTGGTGGTTTATAACTAAACCTGCAGCCGAAGGGTAGACAGCGTCCTACCTGGCAACAACAAACTGCTCACCAGCCAGGCTAGACTACCTTTGGCAGAGGAGACCAGCAGAGCCTTAAAGCCCTCAGTGGTGGTGGTCGACGCCGGCTGGCACCAGGATTCGTGTGCAGACTTCTTTCGTCTGGTGCCTGGAACCAGCGCGATGGAAGAACTTAGGTCATCTTTTCACTGAGTGGAGATAGGGGAAGAGAAACCAGAGCTTGTCTCGTTTGTTAAGAAATAGAATTTTAAAATATTTCACCCAGCTATTAAGACATTTTATATTTTGTCACAGTATAATTATTTATATTCCTTTTGGGGGGAAAAATGAAAAGAATATCTTTTATGAAACTCAGGCAAAGAATTGGAGTCCATTGAATAATATTATGCTACTAAAAAGGAAAGAATATGACATAAGGATTATTTTAAAAGATACTTTATTCAGGCACAGTTTACTTGAATGTTACTGTCTAAACTTGCCCTTCATGGAGACTGTGGGCTCTTAAGTCCTAAAGCAGGGTTTTGAACTTATATTGGGGAACTTCATTGCTCAATGATAAATATTACTATTAGTCATAGAAGTGATAAGAAATGGACACATTGAGTGGAGATATACATATACATATATATATGAGGCATGTAGGTATCCTGTCATCTAACACTTCACAGGGCCTGCCTGGGGATCTCGGGCATGCACCCCAAGTGGGATCTCTTGAAACCACAAGGAGTTCTGTAAGTTCTGTCTCCATAACACAGATACACATGCCCCCAAGTACCATCATGTGGACTTGTAGAAAATGTTTATTCATGTTCATGGGGCAGGGTGCTCCATTTGAAGTGCTTTCTGATGACTTCGTGTCAGCAAAAGGTGCCACATGCCCAAGGTGTTTCTCTCTTTCTTTCAGGAACATTTGGAAAGCCTCTGAGGAGACCTCACCTGGATGTCTTTTCAAGCTTTGGACAGACGTCGGATTGTCAGCCAAGAGCTTTTCACTTGAAAGCTCATTCTTCCCCAGACTTGGACTCTGACTCAGAAGAAGATGGGAAAGAAAGGACAGATTTTCAGCAAGAAAATCACACATGTACCTATAAACAGACCTTAGAAAACCACAGGACTCCAAATTTTCAGTCTTATGACTTGGACACATAGACTGAATGGGACCAAAGAGTTCTAATATACTACTACCTCAAGTGGACTTTTATTTAAAAGAGAGAGAATCCTATGTTTTTAAATGGAGTTATGAATTTTAAAAGGATAAAATGTCTTATTTATATAGATGGACCAAAATTACCAAAATTTATAAAAATTTTATACTGGGAGTAACTTTCATATAAGAATTTCTTTTTAAAGTATTTTATAACTTTGTTTTATGCAACAACAAAAAAAATCTTGTGTAAATTAAGGGTATAAATCCATGACTATTTTATGTATTTTTATAATGCCGGATTTCTTTTTATTGAAAATAAGTACTAAAGCAATTTAAATAATACCTGTCTTGTACTTTTCTTGAATAGAGGTCACTTCATTTTACTTTGCACATTACATTTAATAAAATGTATCATTTTGATCCCAAGTGTCATCTATATAATAGCATTTTTATTGTTTTCAACACTGTAGGCTTAATTATTTCATATTATCATGTCTCAAATTGATGAAAATTATATGCAGCACATAAAATATGAGCAAATTCAACCATTTTGCTTACCTCCCAGGGTTGTAATATAGACTCAAATCAGATTAGTGTATGTGAAAGCATATAGTAAGTGAGAAGGAGCTGCAAAGATTCAAGGTAGGTTAATTTGCTTCTAACTCTTCAAACAAAAGATTTGTTAGACTCTGGTGTAATATAGCACAACCATCTTTGCTTAAGTCACTGCCGGAGCCATGAGTCCTTAATTATAATAATGCCTTATGTGGTCTAATGCCTTGTGCTTTTCCAAATAGTTTCACATTCACCATCCCTTTAATTATAGCGAGGGTGGTTTTTTGCACATTTCTGTAGTTAAAACAGCTAAGGCAGATGTGGATTTTCATCCACTGTTAAGGTTATAATAGGATGCTGGTAGACTTCGTTGCTGTTCTTACTGATTTTCTTACAGAAAAAGCTATTCTAAGCTATCCAGCAACATTCTTTAATAATTAAAATATTTTTGTAATTTGATCATCATAGCTCTCTACTTGTTAAAAACTGAGTATCAGCTCTGTTAAACACATAAAATAATTTAAATATTTGTTTTAAACAGTAGTTAAGTGACATAGCTTGAAGCAATAGAATAAAACAAGTTTAATAACAGATAATGCCCTAACTAGTTTGGCTCAATGGACAGAGCATCAGCCTGTAGACTAAAAGGTCCCAGGTTCAATTCTGGTCAAGGCCATATACCCAATTGCAGGCTCACTCCCCGGCCTAAGCCCTGCCTATGGGGCATGTGCAGGAGGCAACCAATCGATATGTTTTGGATTTCTTTTTCCAGAAAATTCTTCACATCTGTAGTTAAAACAATATTCTCTTATCCAAGAAAAATTAAATTTGTATGGAAGGAGTTAATATAGCACATTCAGCTTTAAAATTGAACCAGTTGGAAGTGAGACTGTATGTCACTGTCAGTTCTTTGAAGTAAATTGAAAACAGCCCTTAGAGAAAGCAGATTCCCCTCTGAAGAGATGTTGGGTAAAGTTTTCCTGCTCAGTGAGTTCAGAACTTTGTTGTTGGTGAGCCAGGAGCCTGGAACCCAGATCGCAGTAAGATTTTCCTTCTTTAGTTTAGACACCGAGTCCAAGGCGGGAAGTTGATTCTCCCTTGGACCACAGTGACTAAAGTGCGAAGAAGTGATCTCAGATGCCTTGCCTTTAACATATTGCCAAATTTTCAAATCTTACTGTTGATTTATCTTCGTTATTGCCAGATGTGATGCAAGCATCACTAGGGACCTCTTCAATAATTAAGAACTTATTTAAAGCATTTAACTTTTCCAGACTGAAGCACATTAATGCCTTCAAAACTTAGATTCATTCTGCATCAGTATGATTTTCCCTGTTACTCTGCTCATATGCTGAAATTATGGATTGCATATAATCTTAGCTGCTAGAGAAATAGGAGGAGCTTAACTTCCTTTGGACATTTGCAGGAAAAGATGTATAATTTTGAGACTACATATTCAATTAACAGAATGAGTCCATTAGGTATTAAGAAATCCTAAAATAACAGACTTAGGAAAAAAACTAATGTAAATAAATATCAAATTACTTGCCTTATTTATGAGGAGGAATGTTTAAAATGTTGAATTATTCTATGCTTTCTGATACAAGACCAATTCATGTACAACCTATCCTAACAGATTTCACACAACTTGTATTTTTTTTGCTCACTGTTGACACTAATGATAAGATAGTTATTGTGTATAATTTTAACTGTTTTTTGAAGATATTGGGGAAAATAGTCCCGAATTATGGCAGACAACATTTTCTAAAGATTAAATATCTGTAGAACTTTTGCAATTTATTTTTACAGTGTTCCTACAGAAAGAAACTAACAGTTATTTACAGAATAAAACCAATGGGACTGTGGTTTAAAACTTGACTGGAAAGTGCTTCGATCTTTGTACACACTTGAGGGGTTTTAGTCCTTTTGATTTAATGTGATAGGAAGTAATTCACAATCAATACTGCAGGAGATGTGCTATGCTAGTATTTTTCTAAGAGAATGAGAACCAAATGTCATTGCAAAATGCCTGCCCTGTCCCTCCCACTCTTGGATCAGCAGTAATTGGACTTGTGTAATAAGATAATTTATTTTTTTAAATAAATTCTTCTTTAAATTTTATTTTTAGTTAAATTTATTGGGGTGACATTGGTTAATAGGATCATATAGGTTTCAAGTTTACATTTCTATGATACATAATGTATATATTGCATTGTGTGCCCACCACCCAAATCATCTTCCATCTCCATGAATTTGGCCCCCTTTACCCAGTAATCACCATACTGTTGTCTGTGTCTATGAGTTTCAGTTTTATATCCAACATATGAGTGGAATCATAGTTCTTAGCTTTCTCTGGCTGACTTATTTTCACTTAGCATGATAGCCTCAAGGTCCATCCATGTTGTCACAAATAGCAGTATTTCATCTTTTATGGCTGTAGTATTCCGTGGTATATATGTACTATATTGTCATTATCCAATCATCTATTGAAGGACACTTTGGTTGTTTCCATGTCTTGGCCACCATGAATAATACTGCAATGAGCAGGTGTGCATATGTTTTCGAATTTCTCAGGAAGATACCCAGAAGAGGGATTGCTGGGTCATATGGTAACTCTATTCTTAATATTTTGAGGAACCTCCACGCTATTTTCCATAGTGACTGTACCAGCTTACATCCCCACCAGCAGTGAATGAGGAGGGTTGAGTTTTCCTGACAACCTCTCCTTCACTTGTTATTACTTGTCTCGTTGATAACAGCCATTCTAACAGGTGTGATTGCATTTCCCTAATAGTGAATTTGAGCATCTTTTCATATATCTGTTGGCCATTTGTATGTCTTCTTGGGAGAGGTGTCTGTTAGGTTTTCTTTCCATTTTTTTTTACTGGATTTTTTGTTGAGTTGTATGAGTTCTTTGCATACGTTGGATATTAACTCCTTGTCAGAGCTGTTCTTAGTATAATTTAGAAACAGTTTTTTTAAAACAGCATTTTATTAACACATTGTATAACACAGTATCCCATCAAAAAACTGTTAGAGTCTTTAAAGAGGGGTACAGTTTCTTCACACATTGAATAATTTCAGTATTCCAGAAACATCCAGTTACCAGAACTTACCTTTTCCATGAGGCACTTTAATGTATAATAAGAGTGTACTGAAACATCTTGAGAGTTTTCAAGTTTGATCTAAAGTGGCTCAGAGGTACTTTAGTTCGTATTTTAACAGAGAGGAGGTCTGTCCACATACATTTACTGAATTATTCCAATATTTTGGGCCATTTGTTTTTGGTTTTTTTTGAGAAGTTTGATTGTGGTGGGGTATTTTCTAATATAGATGTTTGCTTTCACTTGAGGTAGAAAATTTCTATTATAGGTTGAAATGTGTACAATTTATCAAATACATTGTTACTATTGCAAAAATACTAAGTTCATTTCCCATTTTTACTCTATTTCCTGTCAAGGATCTGAATTCTTTATCCTGAATTCCATATCCTCCCATAAATCATTCATGGACGATTTATATCCATGAACACAAATTATAACCAACCCAGCCGGTGTGACTCAGTTGGTTAAGTGACGTCCCAAGCACCAAGAGGTCACTGGTTCGATTCCCGGTCAGGGCACATGCCTGGGTTGCAGGCTTGATTCGGGGGCAGGGGGGCGGCGCTTGAAGGAGGTAGCAGATCAATGCTTCTCATTGACTTTCCTATCTCTCCCTCTCCCTTCCTCTCTCTCTAAAATCAATAAAACTTATTTTTAAAAGAAATTGTAACCAATATTCACATGTAGATTTTTATTAGATTTACATTTTTTAATTAAAGAATTTTTGAAAATACATTTTAAAGAATAAGGCAGAGCAACTCAAGACCATTACAATTTTATTCTCGGATTTCTACAATTATTTCCTCTTTTTCACATATCTTTGTTCAGTTTCATGGTTGATTTTGGCTTTTATTTTAATAGTCCAACTTTTTTTCTTAAATCATATTTGAGCATAACACCTAATTCCTTCATGAAATTATGGTTATTTTTGTAATTATATGATATTTCTGCATATGGCTTTATTTTGACCTATCTACAGCTCAGAGTTGACATTTGGTAACAACATACTATCAGTTGTCAAACTTTTTTATATACGAAGTTGTATATGTTGCATAGGTGACGTGAATTGCGTAAAGCGATCTTTGTCCTAATTATTATCAGTGGTATAGGAAACAGGTATGTAAATAAATACTTACAATGACTTAAGTGCTGTAATTTAGTAGGGCCCATGTCACAGGAACTAATTTGGTGTCTAATCCTACCTGAGCTACCTAGAACCGTTGAATATACTTCACTCAGCATGTCCTAGAACAAGCTGATTATCTGGTCCAGTTCTGGTACTCCCTTTGTTTACTTAGCAATTATCACCATTCCCGCTGATTCTGCATCTGAATTATCATAAGGCTGTTCATGCCTTTCCTCTTATCCCATTACCCCAGCCAAGTTCAGATCAGTATCTGTCCCTTGCAGCCCTGTCTTCTTGCCCCTTGTATCTCTCTCACCCAACTCCTTGTTTCACTGTTGCTAGAATTGTTTTTCTAAAATGGATCTAAGTTGGTCACCTTCCTGTTTAAAAACCCTCAAGAGCTAAACTTTGAGCCCCCGTTATAACAAGTAAAACTTTCCGCACATTGATTCCAGCCCACCCCTTGAACCATGCATGCCCCTTCTCCAGCCCACCCCCTCCCAACTTTTCAACAGGATAATACAGTACCCCTGCCCCGCCCCTAGGCACCTCTATGGCTTTATATTGACATATGTACAGCTTGGAGTTGAAATTTGGTAGCAACATACTGTTGGTTGTCGTGCATATTTTTTTAGTTC